GTCGTCGCTCTCTGAAGAGTGGGGGGACACAGTCGACGTCGGTAATTCCTTCTCTCCAAAGTCCTCTGTAATGGCTCTCCAGATACTCGTGCCAAACCCTGAGAGGAGGGACGAGCTCGCGGAAGGGATTTCCCGAGACGTAGAGGGGATGGCAGTTGTAATACACGTAGACGAAGGTGTCGTGCGTGATCGTGGAGGCCGGAACGGTCCAGAGGGCAGGATCTTCATACGTAAGACTGGGAAGATCGCAACCGTTAAAGTGAGCGATTGCATTCGGAGAGGAGAGGAAGGAAATTTTAGGGGCGAAGTCGGTCAAGTAACCGTGATAAGCAGTATGGATACCGGGAAATTCGAACGGGGTGTCGAAGCCAGGATACGTCGGGAAGCCATCCCAAGTCACCTCGATCTGCGAGAGAGGGACATGGGCAAGCAAGGGCTGCGGGCGCACGAAGAAAGATCTACTTGAAGGTACCGCGTAACGCCAGTGAGAGCAATCTCTAACATACAACGCCTCCACATATTCCACAACTTTTTTCACGTACTCCTCTCTCCATTTATTTCCCGCATACATGCCGTCACGAGTGTGGGCAATAGCAACTTCGGTACGTTTTGCGACAACGAGAGACATGCTGAATGAAAAGTATAAGACGACTGTTCCATAAAAGTGAAAGACGCAGCTAAAAAAGCAAATCGAACTCTGCGTTGTCGGCGACAGCGAGATCGACCTCAGCGATCAGGTGATTAGCCTGAGCGAGTGCGTCATTCAACGCCAAAACGAGCTCCGGGGGTGGAGTCGCTTCACGAACAGGAGGTGCAGGGTCAGCACTCCCTTCAATCGTGTAAGGCGGAACAGGGTTGAGGTCGGCGTCGTCGTCACGATCGGGAATAGCATGGAGAAGATAGTTGGGAGGCGGAGCCTCAACCATAGGAGGACGAAGTCCATCGCGAATAAGGCGTAGATCAGCTCCTACGGCAGCAGCGATGCGGGCGCGTACCCAATGCAAGTAGATATCTCGCCACAGTGGACCAGCCAAAGCTGCAGTCCAGAAGGCTACCGAGCACGCAAACATTTCCCTAAACGCTCCATATCCTCCAAGGGACAAATAAAAAATAGTAGTATAGAAAGCCATCAAAAGCGACACAATGTAAGCAACAACACTCAATCCCAGCACATCTAGGCCGTCAATCGGCATGCTGATATGGCCGTCGCCAGAGATCAGTAAATGCACAAATGACAATAGCACACCGACGGTTTAGATGTCGGGGCTCATAACCTATTGGCAGAGGAACGAGGACGAAAGGGGAAAAGGGCGAGAGCTAAAGACGAGCACTTGCCTTTATGATTGGATTGAGTGTTAGAAGTATACGGTATTGAATAAGAGCTATTGAGGCTTGAAGAGTAAACAGTATGAGATTGACTGCTAGTCTGAGGGGATACGGCAGAAACCCCTTGGTTTATATACATGTAGGTATGCGCACAGACCAGGTGACGCATATGGTAAGTAAATGTACTACCTACTATGTATAGTAAAGAATGTCATGGAACGCCGTAGAATAAGTGGAGTAAAGTGACATCATAGTGGAGTCACTTAGAAAGCATGACATCATATGAGTCATCACTTGTAATAAGCAAGTCTAGAACCGGTAGTAATTTCAACACTTCCGAGACCATATTGAGCAAGCGAAGGACTCGATGGAAAAGTCTGCGTAGTTTTCTGAACATGATCCTGTTGTAGAGGGGCATCTTAGTCTGAGTGGCGATCACAGCGAGATGGCTGGGATGAACTACCGTTGGAATGCCTCCTGCACAGCTCCTGATTACATGATGCAATTCAGTGCGCGAGACTAAGTTTCACCGTTGTCCAGCTGTTATGGCAACAATAAGGATGGCTCTCTTCATACCAGGTATCGACGTTGTAACCTACCTTCCATTCGTGGATGTCCCTATACTCATACCCTCCACACCATAGCAATGTGATTCGAGTGTTGCCCGGAGCCTGACCTCCAGTTGATCGTTGCTTTGGCACAGGCTCGTCACTCTGTGACGAGATATAGCGGGGTGCTCTCAAGAATATTTCTTTGAGTAGTGAATCAAATCTCACAGACATATGCAGTAACTGGATCCAATTGTGCCAGCTGCAGAGGATTATAGCCCAGGCAGTGGACGGATGTCAGGACCTATTAAAAACGTCACTGATAGACCGCGGATCTAAACTATAGTATCGGGAGGAGATAACCCGCCGGGACAAGGAAGCTCGCGGATGGCACGAAAGGCAGCAGACATCGGAGGCCCACCTTGTTGCTACGGAAACATTGTATAAAGTACCGATTTCAACCCAGCGAACAAGGAGCGAGAGAGGTATGTATGTCGTGCGTGTCATGGGCGGGTGATCGTGTTACTTAGATCAATTCAAGTGAAAACAAAAAAACTCCGATGTGCAGGAGAGATCCGAAGGCTGCAGCCGCAGGGCAAAAAGTACAAGGACTGTTCGTAAGGCGCTCGACGATGGCACAAGTCATGTATGAGACCGCTTGTGGTTCAGACTAGGTATCTGATCAACGCGGTATCCATAGGAAGCGCCAGATAATGAGTAGCATGCCATCGAAGTTGCACCGCTTCACGGTCTCTTGTGCATCTAGGGGATAAAAAAAACAAGTCCACGGTGTACGCACAGTTGCGTTTCGATGGAGATACGCATACAACACGGCGAGAACCCAGGGTCCGAACCCAATCCTTCGAGAAGGACATGCCTGGTAGGGAATTTGATTCGGAATCGATACGTGGATCCTGAACACTGGGACAAGGACGGTTAGTAATATTAAACTGTAACAATAAGAATTCCCTCCAGAAATAACGCCACTTCGGTGCCCCCGTAATGATTTACGGTACCTGTGCACGTCCCAGGAATATCAATCAATGGCAGCTCGGCATCGAGAACAAAAAACTCACTTACCGCATATGCATCGACTTTGTAACTCGCAAAACTGAGTCGCAATTTACGGACAGAACATCCTAGGTCGCAGGCAAAAGAGCTGAAGCGTCGCCGCTGGACGGGGACAAGGCAATCACGCGTGATTCCCAGGCATACGACTCTCAACAACGTTTCAACTACGAAAGACGTGAGAATCAAGGCTCAGATAGTCCTAAGAGCGGCCACTCAGCATCCATCTCAGCCCGCTTCTCAATTTCGCACGCAATGACAACGTAAATTCGACGGATGCATCGCGGTCGTGTTGGAACTTGGCCGTCCGTACCCATACACGACAGAATGACAATCTCCGCAATTGGGGCCAGTCGACGATGGTCGGCGCATCCCAGAAGTAAGGGAGTTGGGGAAACGAAGCAAGAGTGGCATACCCCTTTATTTTTCGACCGTAGACCCACCAGAGCAGGCAAGATTGAGGAGGGGATAGTTGCATCGCCATAGAAAAATAGTCACTGGCGTCGAAGACGAGGGAGGCGGTCGTCCGCACAATAATCAAGGGGGAGAAAGTGGAAGTACAATATCATAGTCTCTGAGGAACGGGACTTGTTTCTATCGTTGGGATCAGCTCGGATGGGGCGTCAAGCCTAGTAGACGGTGGGAGGGAGAGTTCGACAACGTCTCAATTTCATGGCTGTCACAGTGCTCAAGCAGCGCATGGGATTCAGAGATTGTTTGCCAGGAAATTTCATCGATACAACGCAGATAGCATGCCCAAATCACCGTAGCCAGAAAGCTGCACTTGAAGGAAAAATTGTACTCGTTCAACAGATTGTGTAAGCAAGCTATGGCGGTGCCGCGTCCTTCGAAGTCCCCAACCTTACATCCACATCCTGCTTATGATAAATGTGTCGACTGGACGCTCGACCCAAGAAAACATGGAGAACACCTACCGCGGAAGGCAATGTTATCGCCAATACGTGTCATGTCTCGCTGGCATCGGAAATTAACATCGCAGCCAGGCTGAGAAAAAAGTCGTCCACAAGACGCATCGTGGCTGTATCGGGTGGCTATTGTCTCGCTGACCTGCTAGTTCTCCCGTCGAGATTCGAAGTCATATGCCGTTACTGCAAGGACGAGTACAGTTGGAGGGCCACATGACGAGCAGTTCAGTGCTGCTGCGGTTGTTCCCATTTTAGTTTCGAGCCCGTGGCGGTCACCCCTTCTTGTCCTTTGCATATTGGACGTAGCTCATCCCAAGGCCGAAGAGCTCTGCGCAAATCGTTGCTCGTGTGCGGCCCCATCAAAAATTAGAGTGGTCAACTCGTTGATTAGGACACGACCGCCACTGGTTGATCGCTTGCCCACCGAACTCCTGCTACGTGTTAGGTACCCAAGCAGCGTGTTGTAAGGGGAAGCAAGATGTCGGTACAGCGCTGCGCGGCCGGAGGTATATCGAAGCTCCCCAACCCCGCGGAGCTACACCCGGCGCGTTGACAATAACAACATAGCAGTCTAGAAGACCCGTTTAAAGAGGAGCGGATGCCGCCTAATCAACGTGCTGAGTTGGTCGATACTGCGGGTCACGACCCAAGCCAAAAGTGGACTTCATCTTGGAACTTGGATGTCGAACTGACTGCTCAGGATTCTCTTTGAAAGTGGTAAGTGGTTTTCGATGTTCGCCCGCTAGAATGGTGTTACCATCTTACCAGGTGCTTCCCTTGCGTTTTTTCGTGAAAAGGTTTCTCTTGCATCGTGACGGACGTGAGATTTTTCGAAGTCGACAAGGTCCACCTCGACAACCCACCGTGCGATGGCCATCAATCCATAGGAGTCGCCTCTCTTCCCTAACTGTAGGGTTCTCCAATTTCAAAATGCGAATCGTTTCCCATGCGATAACCTCCGATCCAGAATTTTATGCCTCGCGGGCGTCCATTGATGGCATGTCCATAGAGCTGTGGTTGCTGGAGCGTGTGGGGGAGCTTCAGGGGTTCCAGGATCTGTTCATCAATGTGACTTATTTTTGTATTCGACTAAGCGCTGAAGATCTATTAAGGCGAGTTCATATCCACCATAATGTTCGAACGTTCTCTTCGTGACGATCTTTGCAACGAATCGAACGAGAATTTGGGACAACACCCGCCTGCGGACCGTACGTACGAACGATCGACGAGAATCTGAATTGAAAATGTTTCTCAGAAGTAGAAGCAAACGCCTAGGTGCTATACAAGCCAGGAATCAAATCCACGGTACCGATAAAGGTACCGACAACGTCCTGGTACAAGTTGTCCAAGTAAAGATATAACAAGAAGACTAACTGGTCCATGTCCAGAACTCGATATACCGCCATGAAATACAGACAAGCTCCTTTAATGCTGATCCCTGCTAACATACCGCTCGAAAGGTTAACTGCGCCGTCACATCCCATCCTCACAAGCCACATACACTGGCGGGCACCTCAGTGGCAGTGACCTCCACTCTCCCTAACGCGCTCGCCTGCCCGTTCGTCAGCACGTTCATCGCCTGGGGTGACACCGTAAACCCATCCTTCGACACATCCAGTGCAAGGACGTTGATAGTGTTCTTTGCATACATGATGGCATAACATTTGCCGCAGTTAGCGTCGTTCCAGTTCGCGCGGAGGAAAGGCAGAGGGAACGTGAGCAACGCGAAGTGGCCGAGCGGGAAGGTCAGGCAGCCGAGGAAAGGGCACGGGAAGCGGAGGAAGCAAATGCGAAGTTGCTCCAAGAACTGGAGGCGTTGAAGAGAGCGGTGGCAAGTACTCAACAGGCTTGATGGACGGTGCTGGCCGCACATATACTTATACCAGTCTCGCTTTTTCCTTGTCATTCCCGGACTGCATACGATACCACTCCATGCTTTTCAATGTTGTCATTAGTGGATGTCACGACATCTCTGTCTATCTAACTGTCTTATTACCATCACTCCTGGGGATCTCAAGCGTATACCACTGACATTCTGCTGCTGAGTTGGCATAGCTTTGTACACTCCCTGAGTACCGTAACCACGACGAGGCTGTCCCTCGACGAAGACGTCCGACTGTACACCACCAACGCAGAACGGGAGAAATACTCTCTTCTAGCTACGTTCTTCGGTATTGTAGTCGCACTGGACTTTCTGGAACGCGCATACGTCCGCGATTCAATTACTGCCGCTGAGTGAGTCCCACCACTATTTATCCATTCCACTGATCCTATCGGTCGGTTCAATGTGGAGCTCGTACATACTGGGGTATACGACGAGAGGTACTCGTCGGCATGCACGAGGTTGTTGCCGCAGTATATGACGATGCTCAAGTTGGTCAAGGATTCGATCCCGTCGATCAAGGAGTTCATGACCCGCTATCGCGTGAGTCCTGTTTCTCCTGTTTCTCCTTTCACCCGACATTTTGATCTTGTTCTGTACGTGCGGCGATGACATAGCTTGACACGCTTGCTGCGTTGCATAGGATCAAGGTAGGGGTACCCGTTACGGTGGATTCGAGCGAGGCTGGTCCGGAGACTGGAAAATGGATAGCTGAAACGACACAGGTAGGGAGATTCTTCGATACTCTGCTCACCTATTCCCCACTTCTCCGCGTCTCACCGTACGCTTGATCTTCGCACTAAACATGTAACGCACAGAACTTCATAACCTTCATGGACGCACTCGAGTTACGTCTACGTGCAAAAGATCAGCTACATCCTATCCTTCAAGAACTCGTTACGGGGTACACGAGGTTTAAGGGGAGCAAGGAATAGGAGGGAAGAAGTCGCATGGTTGGGTGGTAAGTGCTGTCAAATTCGTTCTTTACTTCCTCCTTCACACGCCTCACTCGCACACATTGCGAAAAGGTTGATCACCTTCAACGGGATGAAAGCCTCGGAAGAGCTAACAGAGGAACAATCAAGACAAGTGCGTTCGTTCAGGTTACAACTTCTGGAGCATAATCGACTGCATGTTTTCAAAGGATCTTGACTGGCTTGGAAAGGACATGAAGAATGATAAATGGCATGAGTAAGTAGCTTGAGCTTGTTATTGGTGACTGATATTTATATACTTGTAGGTTTTTCAACTCAGTCATCACTCAGGATCAAGAACTTTATGGCAAGAACATTGGATCCATCCTACTGCCTCTCCCCAGTGTGTACACAGAATCACCAGCTACTGTTTCTTCTGCCCCTTGCACACTGCCTACTCCTGGAAATCACAGCACATCTTGTATAATGCAGCCATCCATCATTAGGCAATCCTCCATGACCAACACATCACTGCAACCTGCCTGTGGTCATTGCTCGGGGGGTTTGCATGCTGGGGACAGTAATGAGGATCTGCTGAGTGAGAATTTCTAGTATTAACAGGCTGTTATCTATGCTTTACCATTTCTATGTTAACCTACGCATTGATTTATGTATACATGCAAGCTATGTGTTTTTTATGTGCAGGGTGAATGAGCATACTGTGATCAGGTGAAATTGGTGTCACACACCAAAGGTGTTTGGTGAGGTGGACATGGATACATCTGATGAATGGAGATGAAGACCATAGCCCTCATGTGAAGAAGGACAGCAAGGAATGTCAGCAGTCATCCCTCACACAAGAACAAGTCATCAGTGCCAGAGAAAAAGAAAGGGAGCAAGTTAAGCACTGGCTAAAATTCTTAAGTGCCCATGTATGGCATTCCAGTTTTCGACATATCTCCACCATTTCTACAGATACCAAGACCATTCCCACACTCGCTTGTAGTGCTCAGCCACACGATCTTACCTTCCAAAATTGGAAAGGATTTGCACACTCCACATGTTTCTACAGCACTCCCTCCAAAAGATGCTCATTTTGCTAAATTCTTCTGATATGGCTGCCTCTACATCAATCATTTCACTTGTCCCCTTTGCTAGGGGCCATGGCTACATATATCTACCAGGAGTTCCTACCAGCTTCTGTCCTGAAGCATCCTGGTACATCCCACCCTTGTCTGTGCCCTCTCAGCCCATCCAGCTTGGACAGCATGTTCTTTTTGTCAGTGTGACCTCTAGGAGGACATTCTTTGGTTGCCTCAGGTCTGTCATTCACTTGGAAAGGTCTTATGTGGTCATTTCAGTCTCTCTGGTCCAAGAAGCATATGGATCCTTCCTCCCTGCTCCCTGCAATGTCTTCATACCAGTCTTGTCCATCATTCTTCCAAGATTGTGACAGCTACAGTATAATCTACTGTTCCCCACTCTCCCTGATCACATCCATGATGAGTATGATGCACATCTTGCCTCCTTGTTGCAAGATACAGCAGAAGACACTCCCCCTTCATCCTCTCTTCCAACAGAGCCTCATTCATGAAGTTTTTATTTGCTTCCCTGAGAGGATGGTTTGGGGGGGAAAGTTGCAATCCCCTATGCTCCTGTCACCCCACAGACCCCCAAAGATTGACCCCTGTTGACATCTGACTCACCCTGTCCACTTTTGGATGTACTATATCAGCATCAGATCAGTGCTGCCTCTCTGTCATCCCACCTTGGCCTAGAAGCAATCTCTTTGAGATGTGACATGCACAGCCTCCCCCTAATGCGATTCCAGTGCACTTTCCCAGTTCCTGACATCACTTGACTCATACTTTGATGTTCTGACTGTCTTTGACTCACCTATTGCCAATACTTACCAATATTTTGACTTTGCTTACTGATTCTTTGCCTTTTGGCTTGCTAATCCTTACCAATGCTTACCAATGCTTTCCAAGATGATTACCCATCACTTACATTCCTTACTCATCAGTTACCAATCACTTACCAAGTGTTTGCACCTTGTTTTCCAAGGGCAACACCCCTGTACTGTATATAAATCACTGTACTTAGATAGCAAAAAAAGAAGACATCAGAGAGCCCCTCTTGCTTGCATTTTATCATCACTCAGTAATTCATTCAGCAGCTTTGATAGTTGAGACTTTATTAAGGGTCTAACTATCATCTACTTTGCTTATCCTTGTCTATCATCAATATACTTCACTCCAAGCCCTTCCTGAGCTCAGTGCAGCTTAGGACATCGAATTAAGTTGTCATCCATCCTTCTGTAGGCTGACAGCAGTCTACCCTATTGCATTCTCTCACATTCCTGCTCCTTCTTCATCAGGAGCACCCACAACCCTCAGCACTCATCTTTGAGTGTTGTAACTTGCAAAAACCCTCCCAAAGAACAGGTTATACCATCTAGGTACTGCATAGGCACACCACCACTTGCTCTTTTTGTCTTTTGTGTTGGTTTTGTTTGGTTTTCACCACTGAACCACACTTTGACTCACATCTGGAGCCCACCACAAGGGGTGGTCATTCCTGGATCAAGAAAAACCTTGTTCATGTTCACATCCTTCATATTCCTGCCTCCTAGGTCATCATAATCACCAGAGTCTATTGCTTTTCCCATCACAACTCCTATCCTCCTTATCTCATCGAATCTTGCCTGTAAATCCACCATATATCTCACTTCTATGTCATCTACTACCTCTGCTGTTTATCCACCCATGCCTCCAGCAGCTCCTCCAGCTGTTGCTGTTCCTCCTGCTCGCTCTGTCCTTACTTTGCCCTTGCTTGGCATGAAATCTGCTCCAGAACTCTTCCAAGGAGACCATACTCATGTTCACACTTTCCTAGATCACTATGAATGACTCTGTGCTTTCCATAATGTCAGTTCTGACCAGGAAATGGTCAAGTCAATCCTCCAATACTGTAATGCTCAGGTTAGGGAGATTATCAAAGGAATGGCGCACTACTATGCTCCTAACTGGGCTAACTTGAAGGCTGATCTCCTCAAGTACTTTGATGCTGATCTATCAGATGAAAGATTCTTTGAAAGGCATCTCAAGAGCTTTGCTTTGGAGTCTAGGTTACAGCCCATCATGTTGCTTCAAGACTTTAGGGCTTACAATTGTGGTTTCATTTGCATTGGTGGTTGGTTGAAGAACAAGGGAAGGATCTCAGTTGATGAGCACAATTGCTATTTTTGGGCTGGTTTGTCTCCTGTTTTTTGTAGCCTGGTTGAGAGTCATCTCAGGCTGAAGGATCCAAACCTTGATACCAGCAAGCCCTTCACTTATGCAGATGTGTGCCAGTCTGCTAAAGAGGTCCTTTGTCATGATTGCTTTGATGCAGATGATCTCGATTTCCTTGGCCCCAGAGCTGCCCCTAATGCTCCTCAGCCCCAGAATAGCACTTCTCATTGCTCTGATGGCAGAGACAATAGTGTTTGACCCCTACTCCCTGCCCATGAAGCCAGAAGAAACCTCAAAACTTTGGAGAGAGAAGCTCCTACTGCTCACAAACAGGATGAGGTCAAAACTTTGATTAAATCCCTGTCTTGTATGTCACTTAGTGACCCAGACTACTCCCTCCTGTATCATCAAGCCATTAAAATGGATCCTGATGCTGCAAAGGTCCTTCATGCTCCATCTCTTTGTCCTGCTCCTGCTCCTGCTCCTACTCCTCCTGTTGCTACTCCTTTTGAAGGATGCTGTAGGTATCCTCAGTAGTGCAACAAGCTACTGATGTATTAGACCAACCTGTAGGTATCTACAGGACATCAGTAAGTATAATACTGGTAGTGAAAGTGAGCTTACCCTCAGTAGTGCAACAAGCTACTGAGGGAACAGTGAATAAACTACTGTAAAATGTGCGCTCTAAGGTGATTATGTAAGCACCCAAACATCGGACCAAAGTGAGCAGAACACAGGGGAGAATATATCTCCAACAACTCCACCCACTCAGACTCATCCTGCTAGAAGGACCATCACTTGTTATGGCTGTGGTGTCGAAGGTCATGGTCTTGATAATTGTGAAGCAGTTAATGATCTTGTTCAGAAGGGTTCCTTGGCATGTGATGAGAGTTGTCAAGTTATTTACTGCAATGGGCAGTGTATTTATCGCAATGGTGAAGAGACCATCCTCCAGGCCTATGAGTGCACTCAGGCTGCAGCCCAGCCTGCCAATGTGGTTCGCTTTGTTGTCCATGAAGATGTCAAAGAAGAATCCAGTGCTGAGATCTATGAGTTGGAAGATGAACCTCTTGTTGCTGCTGTGGATCATTCCACCAAGATTACCAAGGAGAAAAGAAAGGCTGCCTTTGACAGTGTCCTTATCCCACCTCATTCACATGGCAAGGAGAAAGAGAACCAGATTCCAAGGCCTTCATCCTCTGTATCTATCCCTGCTCCACAGAAAGCACCACTTGCTCCTGCCTTCATTCCAGTTGATGTTCATGCCCCTGCCTTCGATGGAACAAGAGATGATGCTATCATGGAAGATGATTCTGTCCCAAAGCCATCAGAACAGGCCCCTGACTCTGCAGAAAGGTCCAAGAAGTCAAAACCTGCCACTACCACATCCCTGTCTTCATCCCTCTCACAATCTACCAGTTCCAAGGGATGTTTCTCAGCACCTCCAGGAACTGATGTGATTCAAAAGACAGCCACTGATGCAACAGCCCATCAAATCTGTGACAGCTGTTGATGGAACTCCCCCTGTGGCTTCTTATCTGGCATTGACATCTAGCCCCTTGATCACCATCAATCTGTCCTGTAATGGTTGACAAGTGACAAGTGTCACTGACTCTGGATCAACCCTGAATGTCATCAGATCAGGTATAGCTCAGTCTGTCATTCACATGCCCATTGATATGTCACAAACTGTCAATATGCAAGATGCAAAGGGGGGTATTTTGACACTGAAAGGCCTGGTACAAGATGTCCCCCTCTTCTGTGGTGCTGCCAGGACTTGGACCAATCTTTTTGTTGCCCCAGACACCAATGCTGGCTTTGATCTCCTCCTAGGTTGTCCTTGGGCCCTTGGGAACTCTGTTAGCATCATAGAGAGAGTCTGGGACCTTTGTTGTCTTTGGAGCTGATTCAGAGCAACCCCTGGAGATGTGTGTCACTGAAGGTCAGCTTGGAACTGTTGCAGATACACTTATGGCGACTCTAGAGCCTGCCCAACCTCAGGAAAATGTTGATGAAGGCATGATGGATGTATCAGCTGGTACTCCTCATCGAGTTTCCCCTGTAATCTTCGCTCCACCCCCATCAACTTCATGGTCACCCCCTCAGTCGCTTCATTCCACCCTGCTGTACCCTGAGTCAATTGCAGATGGGTTTGATGTCACTTCAGCATTGCCTGCCTTCCAGCCCATCCCAGTTCAGACCTTTCCACCTGCCTTCAAGCCCCTTTCATTTGGAGTTTGTGCATCAACTT